ATTATTGCAAATGAAGAGGCATATGCAATTATACTCACGTTCAGAAACTGCTTTGTGATTTTGATGAAGACTCAGAAACAAAATATTACTCTAAATGTTTAAATTTCCTTTTTTTTCTGTTCTCTTTTCCTTCTCATTTTCTGACCTGTTTCCTCCTCTTCCTGGCTGGTACTCACATCTTCGCCATACACATTTAACATTTGAACAAGATCACGAATTTATGACTCCAGGAGATAAATATATAAATGTATACTATAAGTGGCATTTCACTTTCTCTTTATACCCTGTAATCTTATACTTATGAAGAATAAACCTTAAAAATAAGGATCTGTCAAGTAGGTACTGGAACATATAACAAAATGCATTAAAATGTATATTAAAATAATAAGATTTGGAGACTTTAAATACCAAAGAGTTACTTATAAAGTATCAGCGAAATGATTCTGGATTAATTGGCATAATGCTGAATACTAAAGCATCCATATTTAGTAAAGAAATAAGGAAGACCTGCAAAGGCCTAGAGGGAACCATTTTGAGTTGGTCCTGGTCATAGACCCGTGAAAGTCAAAGGTCTTCAGTGTGGCTGTCAGCACTTAATTCTGCTGGATTTTCAGGAGAAATCCAGAGGTTATTATTTCATTATTGTAAAGTTTTTACCTAGGATCAATGGATGTTTAAGCTTTTCCTCTTTTCCCAGGGATACAGTATACCTAAAACTGGGAACACAGAGTTGAACATGAAACTTAATTATAGCTGAATGTTCAATGAAATAAAATGCTGCACATTCCTCTAAATAGTTATGTCTAGGATCGCAAACTTGGAATAGTCAAGCCAGTACATTGGCTGTCTCTTCATGTTGGCTACTCAAAAGCTCAGAGCCTAATTTGTAGTAATCACTTGAAAATTCATAAGATATCATGGTCACGTTTTGTACTGACGTCACTCTTGGTCCATTTGATTCCTTGCTATATTTTCCTTCTGCCTAAGACTCAATGTATTTTATGTTTTCTTACTGTGGCATATTTACCTCTATAAATCATGCGTAGAGATATAATCATGTCCAAGGATCTCTGGAATTATGTATATTTTATAAATGCTGCCTCATAACACTGATCTTAGTGACCTCAAGTTTAATTTCCTCAGAGTGGACACAAAAAACCAAGGGTCATCTAATAGTGGAACATGGACTCGGTGCTTTCTACAGAGTGGTTCATGTTTCCCCACATTTTACGAGTGTCTGTCTTTCTGCCCCATGCCTAAATGTTTCCCATAACCCACACCTTCACTGCAGGGAAAAGGGGTTCTGTTTGAGGCAGATTTGTGCAGAAGCAAGTGAGTGACAGAGACCATCTGAGCTGTGCAAAGGCAGTAAAAGGAAAGCCTGCCAGTTGCAGGCAGTTGCAGAGCGACAGAGCCCTCAGCAGTTAGTTAAAACACATTGTGGAAGAATCCATCCTGATCCTGAGGTGGACCAGTGCAGGAAAACTATGGGAAGCACAGACAGTCAGTGCATTGGTATGAGGATAGGAACTCAGGAAGAGGTTCCCGGCACAAGCACACTGAGATAGTAGCCAACGCTCCCTTGGAGCTCAAGTCCACCCTCACCACCTCTCATCTGATTCATGATGCCAGTCAGCCATTCTCTTGTGGTTATTAAATGACAACCCCCAGTGAGCCCTTGCTGTCAAGACTCTCCAGTTCAGAGCAGGAAGGCAACTTCCTCTGATAATTTTTTCCTACTAGTTACATATACAGTTTGCTTTTCAGCTTCCTCCATAATTCTATTTGTAACAGCACCAAGAATATAAAGTAATTCTTCCTAATTTCTTCTCCCATTCCTTCCTCTTGTGTCCAGCTCTTCCACTGGGGCAATGCTGATTGACACACATTTCATCCTCTGATGGGAAGTCTGTGGCCTGACTGACCTCGTAGGGCAGGTATTTGCACCATTAGAAGGCTGGTGTGTATGGCCGAGGGTTTTGTTATGTGGTGTATGACTCGCTGCACAGAACCATCTATTACATAAATATCCCCATAGGTACTGCTCAGGATCTGTCCCCAAGATTCCACCGAAGAGGAAGAAGAACGAGAAAGACTAATATTCATCTCAAATTCTTACAGGGATCAGGACATTGGGGGAACGCTAAAACTGCCTTAAGTTTGATGATCTTATTTCATATTGAATAACAATTTTATTAAATACTAGAGGCCTAGTGAATGAATTCATGCATGGGTGGGGTCTGGTGGATGAGGGCTGTGTCTGTTGGGAGGAGGAGATGGTGAGAGGCGGGTAGGGGGGAGGGGCCGAGGGCAATTGGCCTGTGGGCCCCATTCCCTATTGGAGTGGGGAGACCAACTGGGGGTGGGACCAGCCATGGGGAGGGAGTTTGGGAGGTTGGCTGGCCAGCCCCACACCCTGATCTGACTGGTTCGCTGGCCACAGTGGGCGTCATAAAAATTCTGATCATTACAGCATTCAGGTCGCTGGATTTTTATATATACAGATTATAGGCCCCATTTAAGTTGAATTTTTAATTCATAGAAAAAAACCTCTCCATTTGATATGCTCTAAAAAAACAACCCACATGGTGTCAATGTGATCTACCCAGGATTACTAATGTAAAGAAATCGCTATGCCTGGCTGCATGGCTCAGCAGTTGAATGTTGACTTATGAAC